GTACGAACAAAAGTAAGAGAAATTTAGGATAAGAATACGAACATGTTCTTGCATGAGGCCCAATTTTTTTTTAAATGATGATGTCATAATCTAAGGTCTAACTTAATCTCAACAATGACAGATTACAGGCCTGTGTGATAAAATGGATYTAATCAAAGTTTTAGGTCTTAAATATGAAGAWGTTTTCTTTGATRTTCTGTATRTGAAGGACAGGCARGTCACAGGTGCTTTAAATAAAKTGATGTTTTAATGTATTTTATGATTTCAAAATCAAACTCTGGACATATTTAGGACACTTTAAGACCCTGCAGAAACCCTGAAGTGTTAAGGTTTAAAGCCCCTGCCCGCTGTGTGTTTGTTGCGATGTCGTGCGGTGCAGGTACCTGTTTTCCCGCAGATGCCGAAGCGACTCAGGCATTCTTTATGGGCGCCTAAGCCACACTTGGAGCACAAGTAGCCCTGGTTAAAGATCCCCCTGCAGACACGGGAGCGACAACAAATCATGAGCAACCTGTGGAGCAAACAGCCGCCGTGCAGCTTCAGCTTCAGGGAGAAAGCAGAGATTTAGTGTCGGGCTGCCTCTCCTGTCAGCTTTAGGAGCACCAGCGCTTTGTGGACCGGCCTGATTGCTGTGAAATCTGACATTTACGGTTACGGCCCAATCTACTCTGATGACTGCACAGCTCCTTGTTGCCTCACATTCAGGGCAGTGAGTGAAAACAAAACACACACCATTCTCAAAGTTCAGTAAAAAGCTGCATTCTGCAGTTTTTTCATATCTACAGTAAAGGTTTGTCAATTTGAAACACTTTGCAGCTCTGGTTTTGTTTGCGTAYCAATTAAAAGGACATAAAAGTAACAACTTTTCCTCTGATAATTATTTGATTAACCTCTTTCAAAGGAGCGAGCACAAAGCTAACATAGAAGAGTTTTGTTGTTTTTGTGCTCGGCTTCAGTTTTTAATTAAAACGTTTAGCTCTACCCAGCCCTCATTAAACAACGTCAGTGTTTTAAAGTTTAAGAATGTTTTGTTTTCTTTATAACATAAATCTGATTTTCCTTTGTTCAGGAGCAAAACTTGAGTGCTCCTGGTTTGTTTCATCAACAGTCAGAGAAACAGAAGGAACTCATTCTGTCAATAAAGCTTTCACACTATTATCAGTGTGCATTGCCAATGCAATGCACACTATTGTGATTCGTTTCCCATCCAAGTCATCTCAACTTTGCCATGCTTCTCCTCCTGCATACTTTGTCCTAGAGCTGCCATTGTAATTTATATCTGTAAAGCCCCTGTGCCAAATGCTGGCTATGCCTTTTGGTGCCTGTAAAACTTATAGTTTTTGAAATATTAATGTTTAATAAATTATAATGGCAGTGAATGGAGCCTTGTATTGGTCCAATACTGCCCACTGCTGCATCTACACATTATGGTACTACACCATAGTTGCATAATATTTAAACTCAGTAGTTCAGTGATTACAATATTAATATGATTGTATTTTGATGTTTTACTGTAATACTATCTTTACATTGTCCTATTGCTGTAATATATTGCACTTAAGTGTCAATAATTGCATTGGCAAGGTAAACTATTTCTGTATACATACAATCCAATCCCTGGGATTGTTCTCTGCCACATCTCCTATAGTCTCATGATGAGCACTGTGGGCTTTCATGCGGGAGATCAAATCAGCTACTGCTACTTTAACAAAAATCTCTGCAAACTTCATATTGTCACACAATTACCTTAATTATAAAAACCTGCTGACATGACAGACACAAGCTGGTATAGAAAACACATTTGAACTTGGTCAATTGGTTCATTCTGAAAGTCCAATGCTCCTGCCTACATTGTCTTACAGCTGCAATTGTGTCCTGTGCCAAATGATGGCTATGCCTTCTTGTGCCTGTACAACTTGTAGTTTTTGAAATATTAATGTTTAAATTTTATTCCAAATTTATATAATGAAAGTCAATGGGGCCTTGTAATGGTCCAATACTGCCCCCAGCTATACTCAACTTGGTACTGCACCATAGTTTTTTAATATTTAATCTCAATAGTTCAATGTTTACAATACTAATTTGATTGTATTTTGATGTTTTACTATATCATTGTCTTTATACTGCTCTACTGTTGTAATATTATGCAGTTTAGTGTCAATAATTGTATTGGCAATGTGGCCTCTTTCTGCACACATACAAACCAACCCCTGGCACCACCTAATGCCACAGCTCCAATGGTCTAATAGTCTATGCCATGGACTTTCATGTGGGAGATCAGGGATCAAAACCCGGCTAATGCAACTTTATCAAAAAATCTCATCAAACTTCATATTGTCACACAATTACCTCAATTCTAAACACCTGCTGACATGACAGGCACAAGCTGGTGTAGAAAACACATTTGAACTTGGTCAAAGTTCATTCTGCAAGTCCAATGCTGCAGGCAAAGCCATGCTGCAATGACATGCAACATGGCAATGCACACTTGTTTTTACATCGTAAAAACCCATGTCTAGTTATTTTTCTTCTTTAAGTTTTTAAGCACGTAACTCATTCAACAATCTTTGTAGGATTTCAACAACCCATATATCAAAACGTTCAGCTCCTTCAGCACATTCAGACTATGACTTGTCGTATTTCAGTATTTAATACCTTTTGAGATATTTAGCTTTTTTGGCTAATTTTATTTTTTATTTTTATTTTTTTAATTGAAAATGAATGGAGCTGTCTTCATCTTCTTTAAAATCCTTCAAAATAGTTGAACTTTTATTTCACTTTACATTTTTTGTTCTGGTTTTGTTTTTTTTAACGTCTTGATTTTAGCTACCTTCTGCTTCTTTTGCTAATATTAGCCTTTTCAGCTGTCTTTCTGCTCTTTTCATTCTGCTGATTTAATTTTTTGTGCTTCTAGCAGATTCTTCTAATTTAGGCTTTCTGTGCTCCTTTCAGCTGTTTTCCTGCAATTTAAGCTACTTTTTAGCAATTTTCAGCTAATTTTAGCATTTTTAGCTAAATTGACCTTTTTATGATGTTAGCTACGTCTTTCAGCTGCTTAGTTTTCAACTTTTTTAGGTATTTTAACAACAAATTGCAAATTCTTTTACATATTTCTCTTTTGCCAAAATCCCTCAGCATTAAGCGTTTGCGCTACATTTTTGCGGAAATTCTGCTAAACAGGAAGTGCAGCTGGAAGAAGAGTTATCCACTGCAGGAAGTGGATCGAGAAGATCTGTTCATTTACAAACTCTTTCTTTATTTGACTTTTTAGTTTTTATCATTAAAAAATTAATTCTATCGAAAACAGAGTAGCAGTTCATAAGAGCATTTTCAGGCCTTTTTTCTGGAGTGTGTGTCCGTACCTCAGCAACAAGTGGCAGGAGCTACAGGAGGTGATTCTTTCGAAGGTGTGCATTCGAAACTCGTGGGAATTGTAGGTGGCMTTCTCAGGACGGATATTCGATCTGAGGACAGAAAGAACACGTGGACAATAAACAACTGGTTTGTGTGTTGTGTTGATACAAAAAGAGCCTCCTTAAAGAACAACATCAGCTCTGAGTTCACTTCAAGAACCACCTGGTGCCTGAAGTCGAACAGGAAGTTACCTGAAACTGAATAAACGAGAACAACTTTGGGCTTGTTAGTCGGCTGGTTTCAGTTTTCAAACTGCTGCGCTTCTTCATAAAAATGTCAAATTTAAAAACAGAAAGCAACATTTTTCCCCTCCTGTCTTTTACTTATAATTGCAGCAGACAAACTTTTCCACGGCCGAGGTAACATTTCACCGATACGCTTCTTTGAAGTGGGGAGAAGAGGATCGCAGGAAGACAGGCGAGCTTTGCTCCGAAAGTGAACACGAGAGGCTTTCTGCACCCCGGGGAAATGGCTGTGTGTATGTGTGTGTGTCTGTGTGTGTGTGTGTGTGTCTGTGTGTGTGTGTGTGTGTCTGTGTGTGTGTGTGTGTGTC